GCATTGGCTTTGCGAACAGAGGACAAATCACATTGCTCGCAACCTTGTGCTGGGGCCATATGGCATAAATTACCTGTCCCACCTCACCTCTTCCCTCCAGGCCCTACAAATTATGATGGAGTTCAGCATGATGATGGTGCTATTTCTCTTCTTCCAGACCAGCACCATTCAGAAACACCTCTGCTGGCACCACTCTTGGTTTGCAAATGAACCCAGGTTTCGCCCAAGTCGGCGGTGCTGTGTTGGTTTGTGCAGCTGCTGCTCTGGAGCACTGAAGTTATAGGAATTTAAACATTCTCAGGAAAGGAAAATGGAGGCGGATGTCTCCCCTGTTGTTAATACTGTCTGATCTTTTTTCCTGTACATTCTCCAGTGTATCATTTAGCATGTGATCACTTCAGGGAAGAGGAGAGGAAGGAAATATCCTTAGTGGTTCTTTCGTGAAATTAGGTCAATTTGGTTGGTTTTTTTTTTTTTTTTTTCCATAGACAGCTGTAGATTTAACACTGCAGACTTTGCTCTTTCAAAGTGTTCAGGCCTCCCTTAAACTGTGAACTTGGCTTAGAAAAGGTTTAGTGCTTACACCTGAGCGAGGTTAAATCCTACCTGTTGGGGAGGGTGAAACAGGGAAACCTTATGAATGTGATTGTTTGTTAGAAGATTCTGAAAATATGAAGGCTAGAATCAAAGTAGAAATGAAAGCCTGCTTTGAGTCCTAGGATACTGAGTACTGGTTAACCAAAGAACAATAGCCTAGCCAGCTAGAGGAGAATCCCTGTTGATAAAACAATGCCTTTCTGCTGATAGAAAGTCCAAAGGTCAAGAAGCAAGGAAAGAACTTGTAAAGTTTTGTAGAATCTAAAATGCAACACTGTATGTTAATATAGGGAAGCGCATAGGCTGGATGTAAATTCTTTAGTGGGTGTGTCTCATGGTGATTGGTTACTAAGAATTAGAATATTCACGATAGAAAAAGATATATTGTATTGTAACAAGAACTTCGCTCTCTTAGCTCTTCTCTCTTACCCCTCTCAGCTCCCCTCTCCCCCGCTCTTACCTCTGAACCCCTCTCCCTTACCTGTTACCCCTTTACCCCTCTCCCTGCTCCTACCCCTCTCGTCTTCCCTGCTCTCTCCCTCTGGTTTTTCCCTCTTTCCCTCTGTTGCTCTCTTACTCCTTCTCTCCCCTTTTCCAGCATTTCCTCTCCTGCTCTGCGGGCTCTCCCTCCTCCCCCTGACCACGTGGATGCCGAGGCTGGTGGCGGACACGGGTCTCCCTCTATTTACCCTTATAATAAATTGCTTATACTTGAACAGCTTGACCCTGGAGAAGTCTCTCACCGCAAGCGAGCGTTTTTTCACTCCAATACTACCTTTCCATTTGTACTGGATGGTATATTTTTTAGGCGGTATGCCTGATATCTGTGTAGAGACACATGGCCTGTCAGGTATGAGTCTCTGTAGATGGAAATGGTGGATAATCTTATTGGAAGGGTTTGAAAATGATTTGTGTTTGGAGCTTCTGAAATAGATTGGTCCCAAGACACTGCAGTGTGCTACCCAATATTAGTACATTGTCTGTGTTCTTACCCTCCTTGGACCACTGCAGCCACTTTACCAGCTTGGAAAGACAGCTGATAAGTGTATTTAGGGGTCAGTGCTCCTTTTACAAGCAAGCTGCGAAGCCCATGGTAGGTATCTTTCAAGAGCTAGACTAAGTAATTGAATGGGTGCAGGTATAATCAAGTTGCCCTGCTCTGGGCTGGAAGTGTCTGCCTGCAGCAGGGTGAAGGACATGATTCAGCTGTGCAAGCCCTGTTTCTGAAGTGATGAGCTAATGAAATGTCAGTGGCAGTGATGGACTGAGTTAGAGGCAGATGGGATTTTGAATTTGCTCCTGCCAGTGCTCTCCTGTTATCTGCAGTGAATCATGTACAGCTGTGGCTGCTGGAAGATGAGCTCCAGGGTCAGGGCTAAAAAAGGAGCTATGAGAAGTTCTCAGCTCCTGCACTTCAGGCAGAAGAAAAATTTTTTATATGTTGAGTGAGATGTGTTGCCTTGTGCTGAGTTATTCAGAGAAGGGAACAGAATACAACTCTTCTTTTTAAAGATTCCTTGTAGGGAGCCAAAGCCTGGCAGCCTGGAAACAGTAGGTCTGAACACTCCTTCAGTCTTCCAAATAACAGAAATATAAGTCTCTTACAGATGCCTCAGTAGGTGGTTTAACTATCACCTTTAATTTTTCTGTGCCTCAGCTCCCTCCTTTTTAAGATACAGATATATGTTGCAGCCATGGTGGTAGTGTAAATATCTCAGGGACTGTGACATTTTCTGTTATCTTGTTACTGTGGTGGAAAAATATAGAGGCAGGGCATTACTCTTTATTGTTAAATTTCCAGACCTTGAATTTTAAACTAGTGTATGTTTTGGAAACAGAGTGAGGGAGGGCTAGAGACAGAGGGAACTTGCTCAGCCTGGGCAGGGAATGAGCAAAAAGACTGCTCCAAATTTTCCCCTCTTGTTATGGGACTGTGCTGATGGATTTTGAGAGGAAAATCTGTGGGACTTCCAGGCAGTCTGTAATTGCAGCATGGAGCTTGGAAGGTCTGGAGCTGATGAACAGAGGTGTCAGAAAGCTTGTCAAAAAACACCATGAATCTGCTCAAATAGCCTTCACAAAATAATAAAAGATGCACCCTGACATTTCTGAACATCAGGGATGAGAAGAGGTCACAGAAACTTGGAGTCCTGCAGCAATGCCCTCAGAGGCCAGCAGTATTTTTGGAGCTACACAGCTTTGTGCTATGTCCCTGTAGAAGGAGTGTGATTAATCCACTTGTGGGTACCAAATGCTTGACCTAAGGAGAGAAAGGATCTAATATGGGGCTTAACACCTCAAGTGGATTTCCTGGCAAGCCTAGGCATGAGATTTTCCTTACAGAGATTAGTAAGATTGCTTGGTAGAAATGGAAATCAGAAGACCTGGGCATGGTTAAAGGAGGAAACAAGGAAGGGATGGTGTAACTTCAGGTTTTTCTATGGGCTACGGGAAGATAAGATTATATTTTGGGAAGTGGAATGCACTTTTTTTAGTGATGGGAAAGAACTGTGCTTTGAAAAGCCATAACGTGAGAGGGATGGAAATGGAGGATATGTAGAAACAAGACTCTGAGACCAGGAGAGTACATTTATGAGGTGTAGCCAAGTGAGGAATTATATAACAATGAGAAAGAGAAGAGCTCAGCATCTACAGCAGCTCATTCTTACTTCTTTTTAATATTTTTCTGGCATAACACGGAAGAGTCCCAAAATAAAATTGCCATTTCTTGCTGTGTTTCAGCTTCTATCTGGGACAGCACTTGCTCTGCTTCTGATACTGAAACCTCAAAAATCTGCTTTGAAACTGAGGGAGTCATTTAATCCCTGTGCTGGTAATGGCATCTCAACAGGTGACCAGAGGGGTGTTTGAGCAGCTGCTGGCATTTCCACAGCCTGGACAGGGAGGCTGACTGAGTCTCATCCTTCAGTGGAACTGCATCAGTAATCTTTAACAAGAATTTGGAGATGTGAAAGTATTCACAGCACAGTATATGCATACACATGTACACGTTTATCTGAGGAGAATTTCCCCCAGTGCTGGCCTTGTCCTGTTCTACACCTCCAGCTCTTTCTCCCCTGATGAAGTGGCAGGGTGAGAGGTCTTCCTGTGGCTGCTGCCTGCTTGGAGGGTGAGATGAAGGTTTTGGAACCCCTCAGCATGCTGGATCCTGCAGACATCAGTTGTGTGGCAGACTCAGCAGAGGGAGCCCGGCGTTCAGTCCTGGAGCTGAGGAGGGAGCAGACCTGATGCATCTCGGAAAGGAAGATCGCCTTCCTTTCCCTCGCTCTCCAGCGAGCCGGAGCTCGCTGCCGGAGTGGGAATGCCTCGGCAGGACCGCACGTTTCCCTGTGAGTGTTTTGTGCTGCCCGTGTGATGCTGTGCTCCCAAACTCAGCTCTCCCACAACATCCTGGCGGCAGCTGTCATTCTGCTGGAAAAAGCGATGCAGGAGGAGGAGAGCTCTATATAGTTGGTCTGCATTGTCCAAACTTGTTTGCTATCCAGTGGACTTTTATTACTCTGAAACTCCCCAAACATTCTGCTGCCTGGCACTGGCCCTGCCACCAAAGGGCTGGTGTGTTCAGGCTGGGGAGGGAGGTGTTTCTCTTGTGTGGCAGCTCCTCAACACCCTCCCTGTGTTAAATATTAACCTATTGCTGCTGATCTTCCAGGCTATTTTACTCTACCTCCAGTTGTCTTGACACAAAAGGAGAATATTTGGAGTGTAATTTGAATTTTCTATGCCTGTCTGCTTCACTGTTAATTTTTTGATTGAAAAATCAAGCTCTCAGCTAAAGTAATATTTTTTAGAAAACGTCTTACTAGAATATTTTTGGTCAAAACCTAACATGTTTTAACTTTCATCTGCAAGTCTTTCATATTTGTGACAGTCGTTGTGTGAAAACATTTGCTTCTCATGTTAATAGATATTTTCCCCCCAACAACAATTAGGACTTTATTTTGGAAACTTCCTGTTTTCCAAAGAGTTTTTCGTTTGAGCAGCTGGTGTGCCCAGCCCCAGTTCAACAAAAGCTGTTCATATTCCAGGCCATGAGGCAGAGGAGATGATGGGCAGCAGTGTTGTTTTTGTGGCTGTGCATTGTTCAGGACAGCAATAGTTAAGAAAAGATGATTCTAAATTAAAACAAGCAAAGAACCAACGTCGGTGACATGTGTAATGAAAAACATTTCCTGCTTCTTTATCCCAGAACTTCAAGATTTGAGACATTTTCAGGTGTGTCTGTTTTGTTTGTTTACACATCCATGACTTACCTGAGCTGAAGGATTTGCTGTGTCACTGGCAGGCAGGAGGTAAAGCCCCAACCCAAGGCATCAGACATGACATTGCTGTGAGCTCACTTTTTGTTTCCCTCACTTCTTGCCTCTCTTTTCTCTTTGCAGTAAAGGAGAAGCCTGTCCTCTATGGGGTCCCAAACTGAGTTTTGGCACAGTCACCCTGCAATTTGAGCTAAAACTGGTTTGCCTGTTCCAATAGGTAAGAGTGAAGAAAACAAGCCCTACTATGAAATGCCTATGATTTTAAACATAATTTGGCATGTAATTTGATTCCCTTTAAAACAGGCCAGCTGGTAAAAGTCTAGCTCTAACAGGCACTTGAGAGGAATCTCAGCAAGTTAAAATGCTTTTAACACACCCTGCTCCATCATTCATAAAGACCTGTTGGAGAGCAAGTAGTTATGCTCTCTAATGGTGCTGTCTGGTCTACTGGAGCACGTGAGGCATTTTCCAGTCTCTACCACCATGTTCTCTCCTGAAACAGAGGGTAATAAACCCAATGAAGAGTTTGTGAGCCTCTGTCTCATGTTCAGTTGTGACCTGACTGAACAGGACAGTTTCCACCCTTTAAGTAACAGCATCCATGCAAGTGTGGCTGCTTTGATGGATAGATCTCCCTGCAGAGGTTTCACCCTCAATCAGAGCAAGTCAGTCATAACCATTGTGGGCAATTGCAGTTCTGGGAGGACAGTAAAGTCTCCAAAATGCTGGTGGGAAAAAAGAGTGACCTTGAACCCCATGCCCCTTCCGGACTAATGCAATTTGATTTTCCCTACAAGCACACCATGGATAATCTGAGAAATACTGTCCATGGTTAGATCCACCCCTTGGTCTTGTGCCCACTTATAGGTGGCATCTCTACCCTGATGACCTGAGGTGTCATGGGCCCATTGACCTAGGAACAACTCACCCTTGTGTTGCCAATCTAAGTCTGTCTTTGACACCTCTGTCTTTGCAGCCTGATCCACCTGTTCACTGTTTTGGTTCTCATTAGCCCTACTCTTGGGGACATGAGCATCTGCATGACAGACTTTCACAGGCAGCTTCTCTGCCTGAGTGGCAATGTCTTTCCACTCATCAGCAGCCCAGACTGGTCTTCTCCTATGCTGACAACTGGCCCTTTTCCATCCTTCCAGCCATCTCCATAGAGCATTGGCTACCATCCATAAATCAGTGTAGAGGTAGAGCTCCAACCACTTCTCTCTCTCAGCAATGTCCAGGGCCTGTTGAATGGCTTTGAGTTCAGCAAGTTGACTTGATCCGTCTTCTCCTTCAGTGGCTTCTGCGACTTGTCGTGTGGGGCTCCATACGGCTGCTTTCCACTTTCACCTCATCCTTATGATGCGACAGGAGCCATCAGTGAAAAGAGCACAATGTGTTTCTTCTGCTGGCAGTTGGTTGTATGGTGGAGCTTCTTCAGCCTGTGTCACTTGTTCCTGCTCCACTTCTGTGGACCTGATTTTCTCTGAGCCTGAGAGAATTGCAGGCTGTCAGCGGCTGATCTGTTCCCAAGGGAAAGTTTCTTGGGAGATCTCGCACTCAAGGATAACATTTGTAAACCATCTTTCTTTCTCAAAACTGTTCTACATAACTGTAGATAGCGTATTTTTCTCTTGTCCCACCAATGGAACAAGAGGTGGTGTTCCCTTGACCAATCATGTTAACCCTGTAGTGTAAGACCCTATAAAAGCTGAAAAGTTGAGATTATTATTGAGGCCCCTTTTCCTAGTAACTCATTCTGGTGCGTGCTGTGAACCCACACTTCTACATCATGTCCAACAGCAATGCACTTCATCAGTGAGACCAAAGTTTTCACCTTCCAGCCAGTTTGTAATTATCTCCAAAATCCCAGGATGATTTGGGGTTCCAATACGGGCGCGCTGCCTGATGAGGGCAATCCACTTGCTCCATGTAGCATCAGCGGCATGGTAGGTAGCAGGAACCTTTCCTTTGAACATCCACCCCAGCACCGGTAGTCGGGGTGCCAGAGGAGTTGTGGTTCCATGCCAGTCACTTCTGAGGCAGCTTGAACTCCTTCATAGGCCGCTAAGATTTCCTTCTCTGTGGGAGGGTAGTTGGCTTCGGACCCTCTGTAGCTTCGGCTCCAGAATCTCAGTGGTCGGCCTCGAGTCTCCCCAGGCACTTTCTGCTAAAGGCTGCAGGAAAAGCCATTGTTCCCGGCTGCAGAGTAGAGCACGTTCTTAACATCTGGTCCTGTTCTGACTGGGCCAAGGGCTACTGCATGAGCAATCTCCTGCTTTATCTGGGCAAAGGCTTGTTGTTGTTCAGGGCCCCAGTGGAAATCATTCTTTTTTCGGGTAACCAGGTAAAGAGGGCTCATGACCTGGCTGTACTCAGGAATGTGCATCCTCCAAAAACCTATGGCACCTAGGAAAGCTTGCGTTTCCTTCTTGCTGGTGGGTGGAGACATTGCAGTGATCTTATTGACGACCTCAGTGAGAATCTGACGCTGTCCATCTTGCCACTTTACTCCCAGGAACTGGATCTCTCGAGCAGGTCCTTTGACTTTGTTCTTCTTGATGGCAAAGCCGGCTTCTAGCAGAATCTGGATGATCTTTTCCCCTTTCTCAAATACTTCCATTGCCATGTTCCCCCACACAATGATGTCATCAATGTACTGCAGATGTTCTGGAGCCTCACCCTTTTCCAGGGCAGCCTGGATCAGTCCATGGCAGATGGTGGGGCTGTGCTTCCACCCCTGGGGCAGTCGGTTCCAGGTGTACTGCACTCCCCTCCAGGTGAAGGCAAACTGAGGCCTGCGTTCTGCTGCCAGGGGAATGGAGAAAAATGCATTGGCAATGTCAATAGTGGCATACCACTTCGCTGCCTTGGACTGGAGCTCCAGCATGTCTGGCATGGCTGTACTCAGTGGTGGAGTCACTTCATTCAAGCCACAATAGTCCAGAGTCAATCTCCATTCTCCTTCAGACCTGTGCATAGGCCAAATGGGGCTGTTGAAGGGTGAATGGGGTTTGCTGACCACCCCTTGGCTTTCCAGCTCTCGGATCATCTTATGGATGGGGATCACAGCATCTCAATTTGTCCTATACTGTCACTGTCAGTGGTGCACTGTCGAGGTGGTAATTGGTACTCGCTGTTCTTCTACCTTCAGGAGTCCTACTGCAGATGGGTTCTCTGATAGTCCAGGCAAAGTATTCAATTGCTTAATGTCCTCTGCCTCCACAGCAGCTATTCCAAAAGCCCACCTGAGTCCCTTTGGGTCTTTGTAATAGCCATTTTGAAGGAAGTCCATGCCCAGAATACACGGGGCCTCTGGGCCAGTCACAATGGGATGTTTCTGCCACTCTTTCCCAGTCAGGCTCACCTCGGCTTCCAACAGAGTCAACTGCTGCGATCCCCCCGTCACCCCAGCAATGGAAACAGGTTCTGCCCCCACATGTCCTGATGGCATTAGGGTACACTGTGCACCAGTATCAACTAAAGCTTCATATTTTTGTGGCTCTGATGTGCCAGGCCATGGGATCCACACCGTCCAAAAGACCCGGTTTTCCCGTGCCTCTTCCTGGCTAGAGGCAGGGCCCCTCTAGCACTGGTCATCCTCTTCTCCCTGGGCATACCTGCTAGAGGTTCCTTCAAGGGGATCATCCTCTTTTCTGTAATATCTGGCAGTTTGGTCACGGGAGGTTGAGGCCACCTTCACTTTAGTGGAACCTTTCTGGTTAATGGTTCCCTCCCTGAGTTGATGTGCTCGTGCTGCCAGGGCAGAAGTGGGTTTCCCATCCCACTTTCCCATGTCTTCCCCATGGTCACGCAGAAAGAACCACAGCTCAGCTCATGGGGTGTACCCTCTCTCTCTAGCTGGGGGACGTTGGACTTGGACTTTGGGGCTTGTGACTCGCACTGGTCATCCCATATGGATGGGAGCTGTACTTGTTCATCTCTGCCATCGTTTCACTCATCTCTTCTTGGAGACTCTTAATCACAGCAGAGACCTGAGCCTGCATCAGGCCATGGATTGTACTTGTAATTTCTAAACTTGTTGGCGACAGAACTCACTGTCTCTGGCTTGTTATCAGCCTTAATTGTTGCAATGAAGGTGGTGTATGCACCTGGCCCTAGATTTGCCAGACTCCACAACATCTGCCCAGTGCACCTGACTTTGTCGGGGGCATTATCATGCTGTTCACCCCTCCCTAGAAGGACCTCTAATATCGCCACTTCTCTCAGCTGTTGGATCCCTTCCTCAAGGGTTTTCCAGCCCCTTCTATGATGGTTCTCCTCTATTCTCTCTCTGTGGACAAACCTCTCTCTTACACTCATTAAAAGCTGCTCCCAGAGGGAAAGGGGCCCTGGCTCTCTGACGAATACATGATTCACACATGAGTCCTGGGTCAAGGGTCCCACATTCCTTGCCTCACCACCATCCAGCTGCACGCCTGTACCCATAAGGTCCCAGACCCGAAGTAACCAGGTTGTATAAGCCTCACACCCCAGCCTCACAATGTCTTTTTGCAGATTATGGAGACTCTCATATGTCAGGGACTTGGTGATTATCTCAACCTCTGGCTTCCCTGTGAGTTGTGAGGGTCCTCCTTTCTTATCCTTATCAAGAGGGTGCTGTGATTTCATCTTAGACTTCCTCGTTTCCACAGGGCCAACAGCTGCTGGCTGTGACTGCCCTTGTGGTTCAGCTGGAACCTGGACGGTTGTAACGTCTGTGGGTTCCACTGCAGCACCATCAGACTTTCCCTCTTCAAGGCAGGGGGAGGGTTTCCCAGCAGCTGAGGAAATGCACTCCTTTAGCATCTCATGCATCTCTCTCACCAGAACACCCACCCACTGTTGGTGGTTCATTTCTGAGGTGGGCTGTGGGGCAGGGGCAGGCTCTGGGGAAGCATCCCTAGTCTCTGGGGCTGTGTCAGGTTCTGGGGCAGCATCCCTAGTCTCTGGGGTAGGTGTCAGGGTGATTATCCTGAAAGCTAAATAGAATAGGCCTATCAGCAACACCAGCTACTGTGTGATATCATTAGCATCTAGAGATTTGAACCCTTTGAAAATTGGTGGGGTAGACCCAAAGAGCTGGGTAAAGGGTTGGGGGAAAATTTCCTCTGGTGTCATTTCCTCATTCTGGGTACCATTTTTAAAGTAACCCAAACCCCATCCAGTTATTGTGTGATTGCTTTGAATCCACATGCCCGCCTTCCAGAGGAAGTTAAAAATCCATGAATTCTTCACCTTATTAACCCATAAGACAAACTGGATAACAGCCACAGTGGCCTTAGTTATAGGACTCATGTTTAGGTAAGGTGCAACAAATGGGAGAAGTATAGCCATGACCATGTGCTGGCTGAACCTGGGTAACCTAGACCACATGAGGTCACCTAATGGGGTTTCAATATCCAGCACACAAAAAAATTAGGTTATTTAAGAACTGTTATTCCTTTTTCACCCTTTTTCTCTCAGTGCCCTTGGGCCCCATCACTGGGTGCCAAAATCTGTCTTGGTTTGGAAGACAGGTGTCTGCTAGGGAGGGCAGGAACCCTTCTCAGAATGAAAATGCAGACCCCCTCCCTCCGAATTACTATAATTCTGAAATCAAGGGGCTCTCAGGCAGAGGTCTGGGGATAGGAATAACAGTTCTTTACTAGTATGTATAACAAGGCACGCAAACAACTAGTATGTATAACAAAGCACACAAACAAAAATATACTAGTATGTGTAACAAGGCACACAACTGTTAACTACAGTGTTAACAAAACAGAACCAGGGACCCCGTGACAGCTTTCTTGGCCGAGACGGGAAGGGATGGAGGAGAAGCTTTGCTTCACAAACCCCCTCGGGCAGTCAGTCCCGGTGCTCCTGCAGGGCTCTGAGGAACACTTATTTGGAACAGCAGGGATGAGCTGAGGTCCTGGGCCGGTGGTTGAGGTGTATCTGCAGTGGTGGCTGGCACTGGCATGTCCCAGCAGGACAGGGGGTGCAAGTCCACAAAGGAAGAAGGAGAAGAAGAAGAAGAAGAAGCAGCTCCATCTGGGTGATGGTGAATTCCCTTCTCCAAGGTGCAACAGCTCCAAGAGAGTGTCTCGCTATCCAGCCCAAGAAACCAGCCAGCCCCCAGCTGCCCCCACCCTCACTTTTTCCTGCTCCCCTTCCCCCCTGGGCCCAGCCAAACTCCTCTTGATTCTCAAGCACCCAACAAGTACCAGCCATCAGGTTTTCCCCAGAACTAATGTACAAAAAAATCTATAACTGAGAAGGAACAAAAAGAACGACACCCACCCCCACAACAGGTGAAGAGCACAGCACTGCTGGAAACCCCCGAGGTGAAGGAGACCAAACTACTCTCTGGGTCCTGGAAAACATGAAGATGTTACCAACAATTCCAGGAGGAAAATGGGAACATTTCAAGGTGAATAGCAGAGCATACCACCAGCCCGAATTTCTTTCTTTAGCCAGGCTGAGTACCAAGGGTGAAGACCGTGGGCTTGAACCAGGGAGACCAATCTCCTGAGCTGCCTGCTGCCAGAGCATCCCTGCTGGCCACTCCAAGGCTGGCAGGGCTCATTTCCAGCTCTCTGCCTCACAGGAGGGTGGCTGCTGCTCTTGCTTGAGGGGTGCTCACAGGGTGCAGCCCAGTGGCTGAGGCCCCAGTACGGTGTGGGAGATTTTTGTGGCACAAGCAAGGGAAGGAGGAACAGCTGTGGGGTGGGTGCCACCTCTGTGGAGGCTGAGACACACTGAGGGTGTTTGGCCCAGAGCCTGGTGGCTGCATGAATTGTAGCCACTGGGAGGTCATTTATCATATCCTGTGCAACTAGTCCCCTTCAGTAGCAATTACTGCTCTTTAACAGCTTCCAAGCAATGCTCCCTGCAGGCTGTGCTTGCTGTCAGAACCTAAAAAACAGAGGGTGAAAAATTCCAAATCTAACCAAATAAAAACACAGCTTCATGGGGATTTTGTGCTTTTCTTTTAAACTCAACAGGTGTTCCTGGTCATCCACAGGGAAAATATCTGCATGCCACAGAAATGAAGCAACTCGAAACCAAACTCTGTGAAGATAATCCCATCTTTTGATTTTATTTGGTAGAAACGAATGGAGAAAAAAAAAGAAAAAAAGCTTCAACTCTGGGTTTTCATGATGATAGAGTGGGAACTTTCACCACCATCCCAGTTTTGGACTGCATTTGATGCAGGCTCATGGAGACAGGGGACTGTTATTAGAGCTGCGTGAATAATCTACAGCAAGTAACTGAATGGAAGTGTTTGGCCTTTTATCTGTTTGCAAACTGTGAGCTTTCCTGGATGTTCTTGAATGTGTTTGTTGTTTGAGATAATACTGCCCATAATTTGTGTGAATAATCATTTATTTGTGGACTGCCTACAAGTATTTAGATAGTCAAAATGTCATTTTTGTTCCATGGTTACATGAGTGCAACCCTGAGACTTCCACCAAGAGTACTCACAGTCAGGAGTGGTAAATTCACTTTCTGTAAAACCTTGTTGAAATCTTCTCAGAAACTGTCTGTCTTGTCTTGTCTGCTGCAGGGAAAAAAAGGGAGGAAAATGCAGTAAAATAACAGGGGAGGTTGGTAGGGTGTTAAAAAACATTTCCAGGAGACTGCCCTGTGTCTCTGCAGCCATGGAGGTCTTTGGGGATGCAGAGATCCACTGCAGCCCATGGAAGAGCCCACACTGGAGCAGGGTGATGTCCAAAGGAGGCTGTAACCCCCTGGGAAATCTGTGTTGGGACCTGCACAATGGAGACAGGAGTCCACACTGGAGCAGGTTTGCTGGCAGGACTTGTGACCCTGTGAGGGACCCAGATTGGAGCAGCCTGTTCCTGAGGGACTGACCCTGTGGAAGAGTGATCCTCATGGCAGCAGTTTGTTCAGGGCTGTTGCCTGTGAGATGGACCCACTAGAGGAGCTCATGGATTACTATTTCCCGTGTCAGGGACCCCATGGTGAAGCAGAGGAAGGACTCCTCTCCCTGAGCAGCAGCAGAAACACCCTGTGATGGATTGACTGGAACCCTATTCCCTGTCTCCCTGCAGCACTCAGGGAGGAGGTAGAGCTGGGCAGGAGGAAGTGGTAGGGAGAAGGTATTTTTAAGGTTTTATTTTACTTCTCTACTGTCCTGCTCTGACCTTGTCAGGAGTAAAGTCAGTTAATATCTCCAAGTCTATTTTGCCCATGATGTTATTTGATGAGTGACCTCTCCCTGCCCTTACCTCAACCCATGAACCCTCAGTTATATTTCCTCTCCCGTTTGCCATGTGTTCATGGGGCCAAGGCAGAGACACAGCAAATATTCCACCCACGTGCTCTGTAAGCCACCAGAGCTGGACAGCAAAGGGGTTTTATAACCATCTTGTCCTCCAAAAGACTGGTGCAAACCCCATGTCTGGAGTACTCTGAGCCCTGCCATGTTGTGACTGCTTGTCCAGGAGCATCCCAGACAGGTCTTTGACAGTCACCAAACCCTGATAGCAGCTTGGAGAGGAGTTTCTTTGGCAGCAGTACAGGCAGGACCAATAAAACTTTGCAGGAACACCTCTTTGCATGTGTTTGTCTACATGCACAGTTCATCCATTACCCTACCTGCTTGGATGGTTTTGTGATAAGGACACCTTGAGGGATAAATGGAACAGGGGTATTAAGGAAAAAGTACTCAATGATACAGAGCAACCTGCACCACAAATGAAGATGTATTTTCAGGGGAAAAACAACATTTTGAAAACTAAACAAGGCATGAATTCATTTTGGGTGTCTGTAAAACTTGCTTCTTCATTTCCTTCAACTGATGTTTATCCATTGCTTGTTGTTTATCCATTGCATTCTGAAAGCAATATTCTACAGAAAATGATTTCTTCTGTGTGAGGAAAAAGACACAACTTTGGGGGTTCAAATAAACTAGGGTGTTTATTAAGGGAAAAAAAACAAAGGGGAGGAAGGGATAATGGGTGAGGGAGAAAAAAAGAAAAGAAATTTTAAAAAGTCCCGGGTCTGAGGATTGAGGAATCCTCTGGCCGAACCAGCGTTTTGGTCCCAAAGCAAGAACTCAGCGGCACTGCAGTGAATGCAGCTAATCTGCACTCAAATTTATATAAGAAGTCTCTAAAAGAGATGTAGACCGAAGTCTGCAGTGTCGGGTCCTCAGCTGCAGCTAATCCACAGTTAAAGGGCACTTCTTCAAACTTCACAGGTCCTTTTATAATCTCTGTCCCCTCAGCTTGTTGCTGGCAGTCCCACCCCTATAGCTGATTGGTGCTGGTAACATCTTCTCCTCCAACAGTTTGCTGTCCTTGGGGTAACTGAGGTTCTGGAGGGAAAGTTCCTCATTAGTATTCACCGTTGCCTTGGTGTCAAGTTACAAGTCTTCTGGGGCAGGTTAAAAACTCTTTGTAAAATGCTGCTGGTGAGGGGATTTGCTTTGAAAACCTCAAAAGTAACAAACTTAAAAGAGAATATTAAACTTACAAACAATGCATCAATAGCAACAAACAAATGAGTAAGGGACTACAAAAATAGGGATAATGCTTATGACAATTAAACATTCAATTGGAACACACAAAAACCACAACCAGTACAATTCTGCAATGAACAACTTCTAAACAACAACAACCAATTCCACATGCAAAAGCCAATCTAAGGTTTTATAGATGACATTCTGCAAATATTTCCCAACTCCTGAACCCTCTGTTTTCAAACAGCTTTTCTCTGAACTATTGTATGTGAGTAAGCATTTCCAAAATGTTAGATCTCTTGGCTCCCCAAGGAGTACTGTGGGCTCCGCTTTTCTGTTACCTTGTTATAGGCTTCTAAGAAAGCTGATGGACAGCACATCAGTGACAGTAAAATATAAAGTAGTGTGGGAAAAGGTGTGGGCTCAGGTTTGGGACATGAAACAGGCTGTGACCTCATGCAACTCTGCTCTGTTTCCTTTCCCAGGCTTTGTCTTTACCATTTAAAACCATGAACATGTGGGGTTTTCTACAATGCATGAAGAAAAGAAAATTAAACTCTTCGTAATGGAAGGGGGAGAAAAAAATAACACTGTTCTTTCTTTCACCCTTCCTGCTCTCTTTCTGTGTCATTTTGCTAGGTGCTTTCACCCTCTTTTCTTCTGTTCTACCCCTCATTGTGACCTGTGTATTGTCCCTCTTCTTTGTGTTATTCTTTCTTCCCCCGTCAGATTTTAGTGGAAGGGAGTCATTTGAGGGAGTAAATCTCTGCCCATCCAGCTTGTGACAAGTACAGACTGAAATGAGAGTTGCACTGAAGATGAATCCTTTTTTTTTGTGGAAAATGAAAACAACAAAAGCTTTTTCTCATATTATTGACATTTTTCAGTGGATATCATCATTGAAGAGTGAACTAAAGCCAGAACTGAGTTTTTGGCTATTGAAATGTTCAGACGAAAATTTGCCAATCTCCAAATTTATTTTTCCAATTCTCCAGTTAAAGAACCCCCCCCCAAATTATTTAAAGAATATTGCCCATACAAGTCCCTCCTACCCCTGCTATTTTTTTCCATTTTGGTCAAAGAACCAATTTTCCACTTGCACTAATTCAATACACTTGTTTTCTTTCAGAAGCCACATTGCAGTAAAACTGAGAAAGGAGTCCAGAACCAGCTGATTTAATGCTTTGCTCACGGCTGTTTGTACCCTTTTTATTTTGCTTTGCCTGTTTTTGAGCTGCATTTGGTAGGGAATGTTTTATATGCTCAAGTACAGACAACACTCTATAATCCTGCATTAATGCTGAGCTGTATCACCTGAACTGTGGCTGCAGGGGTGCATTGTGTGGTCCCCCCATTTCTCAATCAACTGGTAGCTGGTGGTAGAGGTTCATGCATGCATGAGCTGTAGTTTTTCTTCCTGTGGAGGAGAAAAATGATTAAAAAATTGTTCTCAATGAGTTAGGCTGAAATACAGTCTGTCATTTTGGGCTGTACATGCTGAGCATGTGTGTGAAGGGTAATGGAGGGTTGAGATTGATTTGGACCTGATGAAAAATAGTGTGAAATGTTGGTAGTGAAGTCATGGAGCTCCAAGCCAACAATTAAGCTGTGTGAAGGCTTCACCCTTTCCTCTTCTGCAGAGGAAGTTAATTAATGTAATTTACTTTGAAAATCTCAGGTTCTGTTTTTTAAGTGATAAAAGGCCTTGGGGTCATGTTTAAAAGTGGGTGCTGTGAAAGGATGTGGTGGTGGGATCCAAAGCTGTTGTAAAGGACTGCAGAGGATCCTTGGACACAGCATTTCCATGGAGGATGAGGGAGATTTATTTAAAACCAGCACTGACTTGCACCTTAGACATGCTGCTGGTGTGCAGCCTGTCTGTCCTTGACTTGCTCACAGCACCCAGCCTGGTGTTCCACGCTCTGGGCTCTGCCTCAGCATTAAAACACAGGAACAATGCACATTCTTCAAGCAAGATAAAGGATGCTGGTTCTGGGGCAGGTGGGATGCTCCTTTCTTGATTGCAGCCCTGAGGGATCTGGGAAGGGAGACCTGAACTGGAGCACAGCCTGAGTGCAGGAAGTGTGAGAAGGCAGCAAGAGGGGAGCAGGGGCCCACTGCTAGAATGTCCTCAACAGCTGTGGATATTTAACAATATATTGGACTGAACCATCCCAGGACAAACCTTTTTGCAAATGTGGGTTGGAAACAGTGCTTGAATGGGGCTGCAGTGAAGTTACAGAGCTTTACCCAGGTCCTAAGGAATTAGGTCACCTTCATTTCCAGCTAGGACAATGATGCCAGTGTCATTTTGTAAAGAAAGAAACGAGCTGTCTGGTTGGCTTCAGTGCCCCTAGGCACACCTCGTTTGTGGGGATGCCATGGTTAGGTCACCAGGAAGGTTAAATTCCATTTCTTAGGCGTGACAGAGACTTGGCCCAAGCTGTCTGTGGGGCCTGGCAGCACCCAGGACAAGGAGGTAATGATGGAGTTGGCAAAGTGTGTCTGGCTGCTTCCTTGTCATTAATTAGGGACGCTTGATCACAGCAGGGACACTCAGGCCAGGCTATGAGAGTTAGCTATGGAAAAAGGTTTGACTCTAACCCCCAGTAAGACTAACTGCTTCTTTCACAGGGAATGTGCAAGACTGAATCAGATTTTGCATGAAAATTGTTTTCCATCTTTGTAACCTTAGGGATTTGTGTCACAGTCTGGAAATACAAGGGGAGGCTCTGTGGCTCTGGGTGCCTCTGTGTTCCTGTAACTCTGAAGCAGTATTTAAACCCTACCCAATTCCTGACTCTTGCAACATCATACATTTTCTTAATATGAATCTAAATATTACAAACTTCTGTCATAAGCTGTCACTGATTAGTTAAAGGCACAGTCCTGGAGCTGACTCAGAACACATGGACAGGATGGTCAAGGCCAAGATATTCAATAGGCCTTGTGGTTCTGTCTCCAAACTTTCTCCTCACAGCCTGTCCCAGCATGGGCATTCTGTAAAATGGGCATTTAGGACATGCCCAGCATGGGGAGAATCTGGAATAATCCTTCATGTTGCAATCTTGCACCAGATGATTTACACCTGGACAACAAGCTTTGTTATCCTTCTGGTCACTATCTAGGTGAGGCTCTGCAGACAAGATTTATGTGCTTGCAGTCATGTCTTTCTAAGCTTCAGTTTTCAGCTGCAAAGACAAAAATCAGTGGCTGAAATGCTCTTCCTGAAGACTGTACAGGTCTTGTGTGTTGGCACTTCATGATCCTAGAAATGCAGTTGAGCTTGGCAGGAGTGGCCTAAAACCAGCAGTGTCTCAGACCAGGATGGAAGTTCACTTACCAAACAATGTGGAAGAATGTTTGACTGTGCTTTAATTTACTGTATTGCACTGCTAGCAAAGCTAGGTGCATAAATCATAGTGATTAATAAATCTGTTATGTCCTCCTTTATTTCCTATTTGCAAACTGCCTGAGGAATTTTCTCAACTGAATTTGTTATTCAGAATTTTTCACTGAGTCATTTCTGAGATAATTCTTGTGTTTTTATCTTCTCTGGGAAGTTGTGCTGAGTCTGACATTGGAGCTGTTTTCATTAGAGACATAAATCTTTCTTTTGTTATTTCAAAATCACATTTCCCATGCTACCATTTGCAATTACAGATATGAAACTTGCTTTCTTTGACTGCTCTTCAACATCCATTTATCACTGGCTGCTTCAGCTGCTGTTGAAATGCTGGTAAACTGTATCACCCTCACATTTGGGACCGTACACCATACACAGAAGCATGAATTTATTTGCACAGAGGTTAAAGAGAGTGAATGAGCACCTGTGAAATTTTGGGGATGGGGCAGTGGGTAAAGAAAAAAGAAAGTGAACATGGACTACTACTTCATTCTGTACTTTAAAAGAAAGTGTTGGCTACCATGGCCTTTTGGAGGGAGGAGAATCATGAAAATATATCCTGAGAATGGTTATTGGGTTAGGAGTCTCAGGGAAAAGAGGAGAAGTTTCCTTTCCTGCTTGTAACTTGGCTTAGGCACTAACCTGCTCAGAGAACTTTGGGAGCTTTGGCAGAAATGGAGATTACTTGTTTCTGGGATCAGGCTTCAGCTAAGAAAAAGGTTCTCCAAGACAATTTTTGTCACTGGGTACCGAAATTCCTCCAAGGTCTCACTGGCTACAGCCTCTTTGACCTTGTCTTATGTTAGTGTAAGGCTTTGGGACATGCAGTTGTGAAAAGGAGAGGCTGGGACAGAAAAGCTGCAGGAAAACACGTTAGTAGAGGAATTTTATTGTTGCATATTTTGGTGGGGTAAGAGAGGAGAAATTTCCTGACAAGCTTGAATTCTAGGGCATTCACTTAAATTAAGCAAAGGGTTGCAGTGGCTGTTGGTGGAATAAGAGTCTCTGAACTCAAAAGCAAGCCAATGCATGCATGCAAAAACATTTGCAATTGTTTAGTGGAACGACAGCCTTAATAGTACAGCATTAGGCAGAGGGCCAAGAGGCAAAAATATTTGTAAACAGGATTTGCTAATTTTTTCCACTGGCAAACATAGCAAAAGAAGGAGGGGGGAGTTAGTGCTCTGAAGAGACAGTCAGACTGGGAGCACAGGTCCCTCTAGGTTTTTGAACAGAATCCTTCTGCAATCCATGTCCCAAATGAAAATAAGAAGTTTGTCTCTGGGTGTTTGTGTGTGTGTGCATAGCAGGGGAATATAAAGAAGTGGTAAGGAGACATCTTCCAGCTCAGAGACAGGAGCTGTAGGGTAGCAAGAAATATGGAAGGAACTCTCCCTAAAAGGATGTCAAGGACTAATTGAGAAGCAGCCAATATTGGATATTTCTTCCCAGAGACCTGTCCTTTGGAAGGCTCCCTCATGTGTTGGTGGTGAGGAGTTGTTGGGGTGGCTGTGTCCCTACCCCAGGTCTTCTCCCTCCCCTCCATGGCTTCCTCCTGGCTGTGGTTGTGGAAGGAATTCTCATCCTAGAGAGACACTCTAGATAAAGGGATCTGGGAGATCGGCAGCAGAACCTTTCAGCAGCTGGGCCTAGGGAAGGTGTGCTGTCTCCCTCTGACACATGGCTCAGAGATGTTCCTTCCACAACCAATTTTCATTCAGAGAGAAAATCCTCTGTGCAGGTTCTGTCTGTTCTGTGGCTGTTGCTGCTGCTCACACCTGGGTGGTGAACCTGAGCTGTGTGCTGTGGACAGAGAAGCACATGGAAGCCATCAGGGGTGTTACTTCTTTAGAAACCAAGAGATTGAGTACTCAGCCTTTGAGTACAAGCTAACAGAGCTCTTCCAGTTTGTTTTTGGCTGTGAATAGGAGGGCTTTTTAAAGGAGTATCAAAGTATGGGCTGAAATTTTGAAATTTCATTTCAAGACATTTGCTCATCAGATCTACTTTTGCACCAGCCTGTGTTGCTCCTTGCCACAGCAAGAATAGGCTTGACTGAGACACAAATTTACCGCAGAAAAGAACAGGTTATAAAGACTTTTTTAAATTCAATGATCTCCTCAAATTCAACATCCTACTGTTAATGTTTCTTTTTGAACTTGAAGCACAATAATTCATCTTTTTGATATGCACACATTTTAGTATCCAAGCAGGTGATACTTGTATCTTAACTGGACAAACTGAAGCCCTTTGAGGTGGAGCTTATTTGAAGACTGAAATCAGTTTGGCTTCAGATTAGACAAAACTCAAACTGTGAATTTTTTTTTCTAAACAGTAAAAAAAGGGATCTTGCAACACACACTGTTCATGTGAATAATATAAACTCTTACAAAAACCCCAAGGTGGTTAATGATAAACCTCCAGTTACCATTTACCTAAAGAAAAGAAAAAAAAAAGGCATCTTAAAGGTGATGAGAAGGAACTAATGTTTTACACAATAATGCCAGTAGTTCAACAGAACTCTCTAAATCAGGATCTGCCATTCTCTTTTCCTCTGGAACAGTCTCACCACATGCAAATGAAAAAAAAAAAGAAAGAAGAGTCCAAGGGAGGTCTTGCATATGTAGCACCACCTTCAGAGGGGACTGGGAGCAGAGGAAAACCAAAATGTGTTAAGCTAAAATCATCACATTATGGCTAATGTGTGTCCTGCCGGCATATTTAGATTCTCTGTAAAATGCTTTGCACCACAAAGTCCTTACTTACGCAAGAGCCAAGAAAATGTGTGATTGTGTGGAAGAGCTTTGGGTGTCCCTCCTTTTTAAAACCAAACACTGTGCTTCATCCTCGATGGTGTATGGAAGTGAGGAGTGGGTTCTTGGGGTAATCAGACAGTTTGGTGAAGGTCCAAGCACAGTTTTGTACATCTCCTTTTCCACTTCTCTGCTGCATGCCTGAAGACTTCATGTTTTACCCATCTGGTTGTGGGAGGAAGAGCCAAACTCCCTCTCCAGTTCATTGATGTTGCACTAAATGTGAGCATGCAGCACCTTTGCACCTTCCTGATTTGGGAGGGGATGTGGGAGCCACACAGGAATGAAGCAGGATAGTTGAAACACCTTTGGCCTCCACCAGACCTCTTCTGTTCCTCCAGTTTGGTCTGGGGGCTCTGGCACTCATGTTTGCCTTCAGACTTGGGGCTGCAGAAGCCTAGAACTAGATCCTGTGAGTTCAAGTCGTACTTATTTAATAATACATTTAATAAATATTGAAAGAGGAAAAGGTCATGGGCTGACCCTGAGGTGAAGGTTTTGCTCTTTCAAGAGAGTACAGAAAGTTGCTTACAGGGAGATTGAGAAGTAACCCCCCAGCTCACTACTTTTGTGGCTTCTGATGGAATCCCACTAAAAACAACTTGTGATTTATTTCAGCTGCATAATAATATTACAAAGTAATAAAAATAAAGGCATATTTAATGATGTCCTTCCATTAAATGGTATGCGCTGGCTGTCTACCAATGACTCTACAGACCTACTGGCGCCTGTGTCAAGACTCTTTTCTTTCAGTGTAGGGAGAGACATTAAATGATCAAGCCCTACGTACCACCAGGTTGTGCTGCACAATTCATTTCCATTAGGCAAGTAATTTTTTCCTTTCCTTGGCCATTGCTAATAATTAGCATTGCTTTGTTATGCTAATAAATATGCTTCTGCAATGGGACCCAATTTAAACAAAGACTTGACAGTAACTTCGCTGGACACAGCCAGAATGGGACATCTCCCATCTCCCAGAATGGGTCTCATCACAGCCAAAGGTCTCTTCCCTCGCCCTCTCATCTTCATATCAGTAGTCTCAAGCATAGCTCTGTTGGGGGTTGGATGTCCAACACAAAATGTAATTTTGGGGAATCCTGATGGCTGGTACTTGTTGGGTGCTTGAGAAACACAGGGAGTTTG